TAAATGTGATCTTACGATCATCTCTCAAATATGCATTCATGTGATTCATAGAATTAACGTACGCACAGAAAACGCATGTACACCTCCCTTTCATTTGTGAAATCTATGAATGGCAAATGATCTTGAACTTGCATGCGACTGAATGGTCTCATCTCTCTGCCTTGTAAACGACTGCTAATTAATTTCATTAACATATAAAATATCACCAGTCATCGTACAAATGTACCTGCAGTAGCTACTCCGACAAGAAAAAGTGTGTACGTCTGCTCAGACCCTGATGTGACGCTAAGCACTTTTCCACGTCAAAGGCAGTTTTTACAAATTTGAGCATTGGTGTGGATTTAAGCAGATGCACACTCTAAGATCAAATCTGTGCGTACGCACGCTTTATAAATGAGGCTCCAGATCCTGTCAGAAAATACCCATTTTGTCTGGTAACAGAACAACTAGCCAGCCAAATTGTCTAATACCCAAAACCGTTAACAGCAAGCAAGTCTGGTCTGAAAACCAGTGATTGTCTGGTACACAAAACTGTATTAACAGTCTTCTATCCACCAATAAATTGACTTAAGTACATTTTGTACATGTACAAGTACAAGTTAAAACAAACTGCAATAGTCCAAACATGATTCATTTTATCTCGCCCAGTAAAAAGACTAAAATAGTATATTCTTTTAAAACCTACTCCAATAATTGTTGTTTTATATAACTTTTTTTTTTTATTATTTTTACAGTGTACATCCTCAAATATATCTCTTTTTCATTGTACATTTTACAAAGTCATTTTCCCAGATCAAAAAAAAAACAAAACCTGTGATTAACATTTTGGTGCATTATGATGCAGTATAAAATCTGGATCATGCTATTTCTCTGAAACAAATTGATTCACATGGGGATTGATTTAATCATAACCTGAACTCTTGATAAACCAGTTGCATGTGCCAGCATACACTAGGTTCAGGCTCCTCTGTATATTTTTGTGAAAAGTGAAGTAAGACAGTAAAAGTCACCTGATGTCTACGTCCAAGACCACAATTGCAAAATATGTTTTTCCCACATACATGTGCCAGAATGTGTTTTTCAGCTGGTATATAATTTCTCAGAATCATACACCAATTTCACAAAAGTAGCTCAACAAAGCCCATTATTAAACACCACTTTCTCAATAAGTGTCTCAATAAAAACTTGACACATAGCTCTAGTCAGACTACATTTAGGAAGAAAAGTGTATTGTATTGTACAAGGCAAATAATTTTAGTTGTTTAATTTTATAACTTTTTTTAGCATCCAACCCATGAACATGTTTCAAGGTGGAATTGTAAAAAGTTTTAAAATAACATATCAAGACCCTACATTCCATTGTATTGCATTTCGTTTTAAGCATCAAGTTGTGCATATAATTACAGGTTTTTATTTGGTATTTATTTTTAATTATTTGCTCCCCCTCATGTTGTTCCAAACCTGTATGAGTTTCCTTCTTCTATTGAACACAAAAGAAGGTATTTTGAAGAAACGTTGCTAACCAAACAACTGATGGTATCCATTGACTTCCATAGTTTTTTTTTCTTACTATGGAAGTCAATGGCCATCAACTGTTTGGTTAACAGAATTCTTCAAAATATCTTCTTTTGTGTACAGCAGAAACTCATTTGTGTTTAGTGTTATAAGCACACTCCCAATTTATTATTTAGATGAAAGGGTTAATTCAAGCTATGTGTTATCAAGAGTGTCAGGACACACCTCTCAGAGGTAATATTGACACAGGGAGGAGGTGCTGTTTGAAACTAGTCTGAGGGGAATAGAAAGTGCTCATCCGTCTTAGCCTGTTGATTTATTATGCCGTCTACAGAGATGCTGAGCAGAGTGGTACATCAATTCATCAAAGACACTGATTAAATGTAGGAACCGGTCACCAGAATGGCTTCAATAGGACAAATAATCTTTGGAAGGTAAAAGACTTTTTCAAACCATTTCAGGCTGAAAATTATAGTATGTATAGTAAGTCAATATTGAATGTTCATCAAATTTGTCTTTTGCGGTATGATTTTTCTCATAGTAGTAATTTCAGGACTCGTCGTTTTCATTCTGGCTATTGCATTTTCAGATTAGTAAAACATTCTGTTCTAAAAATGCATTTGGACTTTTGACGTATATAAACTAAACAGTTGTGTGCATGTTTGTTTCCAAGTGTCCCAAGGTACCGTTGAAAGCAGAAGTCCCTCTACTGTGGGGAACTTTGCTGAGGATGCGGTCCTGGATTGCAGGTTAGCAACAGTGGCAATGAGCGATTCAGTGATGTGTCAATTACTTGGCTGAAAGACTCTGTCAGTGGGGTGGTCTTCAGGGGCAGAATACACAGTTCAAAAACTGTTCTCGGATGCGATATCAGTGGGAAATGCTTCCCTACTGCTGAGAAATGTGAAGAGGATGAGGGTGTGTATCGCTGCTCTGTCAATGCACCAAAAGTCTCAGGGACTACCAGCGTTAACCTTAGAGTGGCTGGTAAATACATTTTTTATTCATTTATTTCAAAGTAAATTAATGTTTAAAACCAGACCATGTAGTTCTGCTTTATACTTCAAAATGACTCTTTTTATGAGTAAGTCACTGAAACTTTCACTCAAATGATTCATTCAAAACCCTGATTCGTTCAGGAACAACACAAACGACTGGCTACATCTGAAATCGCATACTTCCCTTCTATATAGTGGGTGAAAAACAGTATGTGAACCAAGTAGTATGTCCGAATTCACAATATTCATAAAACAGAAGACAAAAAGTCCCTGGATGACACACTACTTCTGGTGATTAAAATGCAGTGGTTACCTCTAATTTCAAATGGCTAGATATTTTTGTTTGAAGCCAGTTTGTTTGTTATAAAGCAAATAGCCAATAAATACATTTGCTTAAATATCAGTATCAGAATCAGCCAATTTGCTAGTTACAAAAAAAAAGAACGAAAGAAAAGAAAATCTGAATTCTGAATCAGCTATGATCGGAGCATACCAAGTAAATTACTATTATTATTATACGTTGGAATGCACTTGGCAAAGGGAGCGATGTAATTTCCTCATCTTCAGCTGGGATGTTCCCATGACAATGCAGCACGGTGTCCGTCAGCAAATGTTGCTGTTTTACTGTCATAAATACCTTTTTATTGTTGTTAGCATAACTGTTGCAAATAAACATACATTTTATATTTTAAAACGTTTTTAAAATATGCTATATAATATATAAAAACGAATATATAAAAAACTTTTTTAAATATTAAATTTTCAGCGATGGACGGGTTAGTTGTCACGGGAACATGCCAGCTGAAGATAATGAGGAAATTACATCGCTATCTTTGCCAAGTGCATTCCAACGACTACATAATGGCACGCACGTGCCCTGCTCACTCCACAGCCCCCCACTCCAAGGGGTTTGGAATGATCACGTCCATTTGGAATTTGCCCGTGAACCGTTCGGTACTGATACTCGTATCGGCACATCCCTAGTATAGATGTAATGGACATCAATTCAACTTTAAAAAGTGTGAATTGTATTAATTGAATCCATATAAAACTTTTGTTATTAATTTATCACCTGCTCTTGAAACATATGATATCTATGTTTCACATGCTATTGCTATTTTCTAAAACTGTTCATGTAAAATGTTTGCAATGCCAATAAATATTGCGTTCTTATGTCAACAAGTTGAATTTCCATTACACTTTTTACACAAATGATCATGTTAATTTCAATATTTAATCAGTAAATATTACTACAATATTAAAATCTAAATTTTATCTATTAATATTATACAATGGACCTGAGTTAACTAATAATTAAGGCGAGACACTGCAGGTGAATAGGGTAAAAATATTAACTAATAGTTATCACCTTACTTACCCAGCTGATTGATTACATTGATAATTGCAAAAAAAAATGTATTACAAGTTTTCTAAAATGTTGTTTAAATATGCAAATGAGGCATTATTAATGAAATATGCGCTAATTTGGATACATTTCTAGTACAAAAATCTGAACACTGGAGTCAGTTTCAAAATTCTTGTTAATTTTTTTTTTGATATATTAGAGTCAAATGTTTTTACAGAGGGAATTTGGGGTATCTTTTTTTGTCACTCCATAATTCAGAAAAATCTTTGAACAGCCATAAAACAATATATTTTCAAATTTTGGGGGGTAATAAAATGTTGTATATAATCAAGCAAATTATATATGAATAAATCCCTCTGTAAAAACCTTCAGAATATAGACAGGAATACAAATGTAAAGTTTGGTGTGTGTGTAAGTGAAGTGGAGATTTATGGCTCAATGTAGGAGAAAAAACTCATTTGGAGAAAACGGCCTTTAAAATATGTACTGTAATTGAAATCTATTGACACAAATGGATAAAGTGCTATAAAATAAACACTTAACCGTGTCTTTTGGATGTTTTCTTTCCACTAGTCTTCTTTATCAACACTTTATGAAAAGCCAAAAAGCCCAAAATCTCAGAATTGACAGGTGCATGAAAAAATAGTGTTTTTGCATGCAGTGTCTCCCCTTAACCCAACGTTAACAAATATGAATAAATATAACAAATGTGTTAAATCTTGTTGGTGTTCGTTAATGCATTGGGCTTATTAATGTAAACGATGGACCTTATTGTAAAGTATATCTGATAACAAAAGATCAGCTATTTAATAGCTGTCTAACCAATACAATGATATTGCCAAAGCTACATTTTTACATTGTGCATCTTTTTTATTACATGTAGCCTAGGCTAGAGTCTCCTGGTTTATTCCATATAGAACTGAAACTGTATTTGTAAAGGGAATTGGCAGGAAATAAGGCATGAGCTGCATATTAGCTATCTTTGACCTTTGGGTGGTGTGTGATCTTGTGTCTTGATCATAGACTGTCTAGCCAGCAGATGGGGACACCCATATTCCACGCGTGTTTTACAGGCGCATGTTCCTCTTTTTACACGCTGGGACAGGGTCGGATTTCAGGCCACGCCTCAAAACGTGTACGCCTAATATGATTGGACGACGAGACATGTTCTCAAATAACATGAGCGAAAAAGTTAACTCTCTCACAAGTTTGGCGAGAGTTGCATTTTTAGTAAATAACAAGATTCACCAAAGGCGATTAGCCATTTTATAGTAGAGTTTTTGTATTAACCCGTGTTATAGTAAAATTGAAAAACAACAACCGCAATGTCACTTTGCAAAGAGCGATTAGTTCATGAAGAAAAGCTAGAAGCAGTCTTTAGTAAAAGCAATGGGGACACTAAGAAGTCCAAAGCGGTCTGTGGTGTTTGCAGTCGGATGTATCGAGACCCTAAAATCCTGCCCTGCTTGCACACGTTCTGTGCGGACTGCATTCGCCAGCGCGAGCCGTTCTCAGCGCGTCGCGTGAACGGGGAACGACGCTCGCCAGAGGATGACACGCACCGGCGCGACTCTGGCTCAACAATCCTGTGTCCTGAGTGCGATTCAGAGGTGGATCTGCCCCCATCGGGTGTGGATGGGCTGACCACTGACCATCTGGCGCTGGACGAGGTTTTCGCGGAGACGCTGCTGGAGGACTGCAGGGTTTTGTGCGACTTGTGCAGCGACAGTGACGCGGGGAAGCGCTGCGAGGTGTGCGGCGTCAATCTCTGCGACTTCTGCAGCCAGGCCCACAGGTCAGTTTATTAGAGAGTTTAGTTTCGTAATTAACACGCAAAGTAAAGAAGTCATGTATCAATCCTCAAGCCATGTATGACTTCGCTCCTTTAACAGAAATTGAGAAGTTAAAGCGATAGTTGAACCAGAAAAATGAAAATTATTTTCACTTTTTTCACCCTCATGTTTTTTTTAACTAGTATGACTTGTATGAGAATATATTTTGAAGAATTTTGGGAACTAAACAGTTTTGGTTCCACTGTATAGACAAAAACATTAAGACATTTCTCGAAATATAAAGTCAATATTTATGGTATTCGTAAAAGAATATTAAATATTAATATTTTCTTTCAAAAGGGATGCATTTTGAGACCATGACAAGTCCATCTACTGCAACAGCGGATAATAGTAAATATTCCAGAGGTACACAATTAATAAAACAAAAATACACAATGGCTACATCTGCATATGCATATTTTCCTACTATACAGTAGGTGAAAGAACAACACATGAAAGGAGAATTATGTCCGATTTCACAATATAAACATAAATTTATAAATAAATAAATGGGAGTCGAAAACACCTGAATGACCTACTACTTCCAGTGAGATTCTAAAGTACACATCCAGTGGACACTTTACTATCATGAGGCCACTGTCAATATTTATGGTATTCGTAAAAGAATATTAAATATTAATATTTTCTTTCAAAAGGGATGCATTTTGAGACCATGACAAGTCCATCTACTGCAACAGCGGATAATAGTAAATATTCCAGAGGTACACAATTAATAAAACAAAAATACACAATGGCTACATCTGCATATGCATATTTTCCTACTATACAGTAGGTGAAAGAACAACACATGAAAGGAGAATTATGTCCGATTTCACAATATAAACATAAATTTATAAATAAATAAATGGGAGTCGAAAACACCTGAATGACCTACTACTTCCAGTGAGATTCTAAAGTACACATCCAGTGGACACTTTACTATCCCATGAGGCCACTTGAAAGGAGTAAAACAAGATTGTATAGGTCACATAACAATGACAACATGAAGAATTAAATATGACCAGATTACACTCAGACTATACATTCATACTATATAGAACAAATGTATTCAAAATAAAAAAAAATATTTATTAATCTTTATTTATTCCTTCCCTTTCTAGCTTGTACTTATTTGAACAAATGCCTGAAACTTGGTATTACGAGCACTTCCTGTGTCTGTTTGCCTCTTTAAGAAGAATCGCTTTATGTATTCCCTAATTGTAAGTCGCTTTAGATAAATGACTAAATGTAAATGCAAAAGCAGTACCTACTCTGAGATTTCTGAGACAGTTTTTTCACAGACTCACCCTTAACTTAAACTCAGGGCTCAAAGAAGTCAGTTGCACTCAAAATACCACTTTGTGGTGGCATTTATGTGTGTTCAGCTCATACCATTTTTGTGACATAACTTGCATGCACCATATTTCCTGTAATACGTCATGTCAAAACTCTTGTAATCTTCCCTGCAGGAGACAGAAGAGGACCTCCTCTCACTCTATCCAAAGCCTACAGGAGCTGAAGTCTCAGGGTCGTCTCACTAGACCCGTCCTGTGCTCGCTGCATCCTGGACAGGAGTTACGGCTCTTCTGTGAGCCGTGTGACCTCACCGTGTGCCTGGAGTGTGCGGCCACCTTTCATCGCGACCACCACTGCAGCTCTGCCCATGAAGTCATCAGTCATCATGGCGATCGCATTAGAGATCTGGTCGTCAGGAGCTTAAGGCCTCGTCTTGGCCGTATGGAGGAGTCTCTGAGACACGTAGACACATCCCAAGAGGCGCTGCAGGCTCGGGCTGACACATTGGCGGATGAGATCCGGGCGTTTGCTCGGAGCTATGCCAGCGCGGTGGAGGCTCATTGCAGCTCACTGCTGCGGTCACTGGAGGACTTAAGGTCGCAGCGCAGGAACCAACTCCATCTGCAGAAGGCTCAGCTGCAGCAGGCCTTGTCTGATGTCCGCGGTGGGGTGAACTTCGCTGAACGCCTGCTCACGTGTGGTTCTGACACTGAAATCCTCAGTGCCAAAGGAGTTACTATGAGGAGACTGATGAACCTTGTGGAGTCAGGATTCGACCCACACCCAACGACGGTCGCCCCTGATAATGCCAGCAGCATCTGTTTCCTTCCTCAGGAGAGTGCTGGAGAGGTGCAGGGATTTCCTGTGGTGGGAGTCATACATGCCAAGACTGTGGATCTCAGCAAGTGCACGATCCAGGGAGAAGGTGAGAGTCGGGTACTATCTATCTTCAATAGCTTTACACTTTCAAGCGTCAAAAATGACACACAAGCATTAAAATAAAAAAGATCCCACTTTATATTTGGTGACCTTAACTACTATGTACTTACATTTAAATTAATCATAATACTTACCTCAATACCTGATTGTAATTACATCTGTAATTAATTTCTGTGATTACATTTATAATTACACCGTTGACCCATTATCCCTTACACCTTAACCCACCCTTAAACCTACCCATACCACCAAACCTGTCCCTAACCTTACCCGTATCACCCCCCCCAATAGAAGCAAAAGTATTTTGCACTTGATGTAAGTACATGGTAGTTAAGGCCACCTAATATAAAGAGGGAAAAATTAAAAAATGACAAGTGTGATGCACATACTGTAAGTTAAATTGAACTGCTTCAGTGTGATTATCGAGTCAACAAATGTTTTACCGTCATAAAAGGCTATCATTTCATTTTAGCAGATTTGATTTTTTAATCATTTTGGAGCTCTCCCTATTCAATTTCATTAAATTAAAATCAGATAATTTTTTTTTAATTCAGAAATATAAAAAAAAAAATCAAGTTTTAAGTTTCATTTGAAATGAAAAAAAGGTCAGTAAATGATGACAGAATTTTCATTTATTTTGTTGAACTGCTTCTTTAAGTCAAATCTTAAAGTAAAACTGCCAGTTGTTTTATACTTCTATTAAGTCAAGTCAAGTCACCTTTATTTATATAGCGCTTTTAACAATACAGATTGTGACAAAGCAACTGAACAGCATTAATTAGGAAAATAGTGTCAATAATGCAAAGTGACAATAGTAAACACTAATTTTTCAGTTAAAGACAGTTCATCATTGAATTCAGTCATGTCATCATCCAGCTCAGTTTAAATAATATCTTTGCAATCATGTCAACGATAACGCTGGAAATGAAGTGTCCCCAACTAAGCAAGCCAGAGGCGACAGCGGCAAGGAACCAAAACTCCATCGGTGACAGAATGGAGAAAAAACCTTGGGAGAAACCAGGCTCAGGCGGGGGGCCAGTTCTCCTCTGACCAGACGAACCAGCAGAACGGAAAAATCAATATAAGACGTAATAAAACAGACGATGAATAATATTAACAGCAATTATTATATGATGCAATCAAACTTATAGCAAAATGTGGTAGTTCTGTAAGTTGTTTCAGGGTTGGCATCATCTGAGGTCCTCTGAGGAGTTGCATCATCTCTTCTCAGGTGTTCTGGATCCAGACTGAAGCTTGTGTAAATCCTAGTTACGGCAAAAGACAAATGTATATCGAAAATAGCAGAGGACCTAGGACAGATCCTTGTGGCACTCCATGTTTTACTGGTGATAATTGAGATGACTCCCCATTTAAATGAACAATGTGGTAGCGATCGGACAGGTAGGATCTAAACCATCTTAAAGCCTGCCCTTGGATACCTGTATAGTTTTGTCATCGATCTATGAGTATGTCATGATCTATAGTATCGAATGCAGCACTAAGATCAAGTAAAACTAGCAATGAGATACAGCCTTGGTCTGACGCAAGAAGCAAGTCATTTGTAATTTTAACAAGTGCAGTTTCTGTGCTATGGTGGGGCCTGAAACCTGACTGAAATTCTTCATAGAGATCATTTTTTTGCAGGAAGGAGCACAATTGAGCAGACACAACTTTTTCTAAAATTTTAGACATAAAAGGAAGATTTGAGATGGGTCTGTAATTAGCCAGTTCACTAGGATCTAGTTGTGGTTTCTTAATAAGAGGCTTAATGACCGCCAGCTTGAATGTTTTTATTAGTCTTTCTCCCTTTGAATTTGGTCATTGGTCTGTTTTTAATCCTAAATGTTGTTACTCGTGAAGGACATGCAGTATAAGTGTTTGGTTTGGTGACTTTACTGTGGAATTTTAAGCGGTGTTTGTCAAACAAATGACGGTTCAGTGCACATTCCTCAGAAACAGTGCAGCTCAGATGAAATTGTGTATTTGTATGTTTCTGTGTTCAGATTATGTGACGAGATCTTCAGTCTGAAAGTGAGACCTTATATCCGCTTTAGTCCCCTCCCATACATGCATAGACATACATACACGTACAAGTGCACACACCAAAAGGCCCAGGACATGACACTGGGATAAACAGCAGGCAACATTCCTGGCTACCATGACAACCCAACCTTTTTATGTACTGGTGCTCCTAGAGTATGATTGTAAAAGGGACACTTATCCAGTTAGCCACAAGTATGTTCACAGCAGGAGGAGAATACAATGCTGTTTGCCTTTGGTGTGCAGGTCGTCCATGCCAGGGTTCCCACAGTCACAGAAAACAAGAAAAGCGCTAATGTAAACAAGAGACAGTCCAGTTCAGATTTGATGATTTGTTTTTTTATCAGATCTGTTTACTCCTTTACAATCCAAATGTCATAACTCTGAATGTGTTCTTCTTGTGAAACAACAGACTCTCTCTGGTGACTATGCTGGACTTCTCCACTCATTTAGTCTGCATAAACTTGTCTCTTTAATACGGTTGACTGCAAGCTCACATTCAGATATGCCTCCATTCAGTCAACAACTGATGGGTAGCACCAAGTCCTCGTCCTATATTTTGTCTTTTTCGATAATTCGTTTCACTTTGATGCATGTCACAAGTCAGAAGAAAAGATCTGTCGCTACTTCCGCTACATAGCCTGTGTCACTCACATGTGTCTGTCTTCGAATAACTCACAGGTGGGGAACGAGGTCGTGAAGGCCAGAGGGGAGAGTTCACTCTGGTTTGCAGGGACTCCTCCGGAGAGCAGATGGGCCGAGGTGGAGACCCTGTGCTAGTCAGCATTGTGCACAAGGAGAAGAAGGCCTGGTGAGCATATATGGGAAAATTAAGACCACCACATTTTTTATAAAGTCACAGTAGGTTGAGCAAGGTTGAAGCATAGGCAAAATATTACTTTCTAATTACAGATTCCTCCTGAACTATTAATGCACGTAATTTAATCAAATTAACATTTTTTTTGTTTGAATTTATTCTGAGATTATTTTATTCATGAGTGAATAAATAAATATTTTAGGCCTTTTAAATTATTATTTAGGCCTGAATGTAAGATTTATGTATTTTAATTGCAAATAAAATGTTGATCTGTTTGGATTGCACAGTATTAATAAACTAATAAACTTAATGTGATGCATATTTGTCAGCCTTATTAAAATGAAACAAGAATGAGATTTCTGTAATAGTAATAATAAACTGAATGCATTTTAAATACACAGCTTAGAAAGAATTAAAGTGAATACTATACATTCCTTTATCAGCATCTAACATCAGATCTTAAAGGTGACATATCATGAAAATCTGACTTTTTCCATGTTCAAGTGCTATAATTGGGTCCCTGGTGCAACTACCAACCCAGAAAACGTGAAAAATAACAACCCAATAATTTTTTTTTGGTAAGCCTTTCTCTGCAAGCTTGTGAAAAAACAAACCGCTCAGATTTCGCTCCCCCCACCCCGTTGACGTAGAAAGGGGATCTTGTTATAATATTACCGCCCCTTAATCTGCACGATTCCACCCACGGCGCTGCTAATCTGTTTTCGCAAGCAACAACGGTGTACCAGCTCTAATGCCACAGCGAAAGTTCGAGCAAAGCATGCTAACTGTTCTGTCTTTGGATGCACTGACAGAAGGAGACAGGAGACGAGAGCAATGGATTTATTGATTTATTTACTGTATATTACACGGCTGCCACACAGATCTTATATAAACATGCAATTTCTTTTCCAGCTGTTTACCTTCACAGACATAACCGACTGTTTGTACTCACACTTGTGTGTTTTTAACATAAACCTGTGTGTATTTGACAGTTTAAGCGCAATAAGACATGAGAGAACTTAGTTTAGTACTCATGTGCTGTGTTGTGACAGCTGCTTTCTGTGCCCGTGCTTCAGATGTGTGTGCTCAGAAAACTGTATATAAGAAGTTTAACCTAAGATGGTTTAAAACACATGATAGACATGATCATCAAGACCAAACATATGTTGTTTAGTAGAGTATCTGAGGAACAAGCTGTAAAGGCACAGCCCTATTCTAGAAAAGGGGGCGGAGAACAACAGTTCATTTGCATTTAAAGAGACATGCACGAAAACAGCATGTTTGTGCTCCCACTTAAAGCTGCAGTCCGTAAATTTTGCCTCTTTGTCACCATCTCTGTTTGAAAACCTGGAATTGCAGCTGTGTGCGGAATATCTTACTTGCATGGGTTGTGAGTTGGCACGGCTCCAGCGTGGATGAATCTAATGTTCTGAAGAGTATGTGTGGCAGTCAATCCACTGGTGTGGAAAAATGGTTACATTATTTTATTTTACATCATTTTTTGTGTGTGCTTGGAAATAAGGTGCTATCAACAAGCTTATGTAAGCCAGTAAAATTCCTTAGATGGGAATAATAAACCCTTGTGAGATATTTTCATTGTTTGTGATCAAAAAGAAAACAAACCCAGCTGAGAGGGTTAGCTTTGCTTATTAAAGTGCCTGTAAAGTCAGGTTATACGTGCTAATTTTAAACAAATAACCACACAAGCTGCACTCAAAAAAAAGAGGCCTAAATTTAAGATTTATGTATTTTAATTGCATAAAAATGTATTTAGTTTTAACATAAACAGACTAATAAGCTTAATGTGGAGCGTCAGTCGCACATAAATGAAACAGGTCAGATTTTTGTAATGGTGCTAATAAACTGAATGCATTTTAAATACACAGCTTAGAAAGAATTAAAGTGAATACTATACATTCCTTTATCAGCATCTAACATCAGATCTTAAAGGTGACATATCATGAAAATCTGACTTTTTCCATGTTCAAGTGCTATAATTGGGTCCCTGGTGCAACTACCAACCCAGAAAACGTGAAAAATAACAACCCAATAATTTTTTTTTGGTAAGCCTTTCTCTGCAAGCTTGTGAAAAAACAAACCGCTCAGATTTCGCTCCCCCCACCCCGTTGACGTAGAAAGGGGATCTTGTTATAATATTACCGCCCCTTAATCTGCACGATTCCACCCACGGCGCTGCTAATCTGTTTTCGCAAGCAACAACGGTGTACCAGCTCTAATGCCACAGCGAAAGTTCGAGCAAAGCATGCTAACTGTTCTGTCTTTGGATGCACTGACAGAAGGAGACAGGAGACGAGAGCAATGGATTTATTGATTTATTTACTGTATATTACACGGCTGCCACACAGATCTTATATAAACATGCAATTTCTTTTCCAGCTGTTTACCTTCACAGACATAACCGACTGTTTGTACTCACACTTGTGTGTTTTTAACATAAACCTGTGTGTATTTGACAGTTTAAGCGCAATAAGACATGAAAGAGAACTTAGTTTAGTACTCATGTGCTGTGTTGTGACAGCTGCTTTCTGTGCCCGTGCTTCAGATGTGTGTGCTCAGAAAACTGTATATAAAAAGTTTAACCTAAGATGGTTTAAAACACATGATAGACATGATCATCAAGACCAAACATATGTTGTTTAGTAGAGTATCTGAGGAACAAGCTGTAAAGGCACAGCCCTATTCTAGAAAAGGGGGCGGAGAACAACAGTTCATTTGCATTTAAAGAGACATGCACGAAAACAGCATGTTTGTGCTCCCACTTAAAGCTGCAGTCCGTAAATTTTGCCTCTTTGTGAGCAAAGCATGCTAACTGTTCTGTCTTTGGATGCACTGACAGAAGGAGACAGGAGACGAGAGCAATGGATTTATTGATTTATTTACTGTATATTACACGGCTGCCACACAGATCTTATATAAACATGCAATTTCTTTTCCAGCTGTTTACCTTCACAGACATAACCGACTGTTTGTACTCACACTTGTGTGTTTTTAACATAAACCTGTGTGTATTTGACAGTTTAAGCGCAATAAGACATGAAAGAGAACTTAGTTTAGTACTCATGTGCTGTGTTGTGACAGCTGCTTTCTGTGCCCGTGCTTCAGATGTGTGTGCTCAGAAAACTGTATATAAAAAGTTTAACCTAAGATGGTTTAAAACACATGATAGACATGATCATCAAGACCAAACATATGTTGTTTAGTAGAGTATCTGAGGAACAAGCTGTAAAGGCACAGCCCTATTCTAGAAAAGGGGGCGGAGAACAACAGTTCATTTGCATTTAAAGAGACATGCACGAAAACAGCATGTTTGTGCTCCCACTTAAAGCTGCAGTCCGTAAATTTTGCCTCTTTGTCACCATCTCTGTTTGAAAACCTGGAATTGCAGCTGTGTGCGGAATATCTTACTTGCATGGGTTGTGAGTTGGCACGGCTCCAGCGTGGATGAATCTAATGTTCTGAAGAGTATGTGTGGCAGTCAATCCACTGGTGTGGATATTTACTATACTTCGCAATCACAGATTCTAGCCTACATTTTGGAATATGACCCAAATAAGAATTTTCACCGTATATAGCCATCTGAACAAGTAAGTAACAAGTCTGCCACGTTTGTTCTGACCAACTGAGGCCGACCTCAGCGTCCCAACACCAGACTGCCCTCAAAAAACGAAGAAGGTTGGTGTGCAAAAGAATGTGTTTTCATCTCGTTCCCTCTTACACGTAAATCTAATGTGTTTTCTTGGCTGCGTTTCCCAAAAGCATCGTAAGCTTAAGTACATCGTAGACCCTTTGAAACCAATGGAGTTACGATCAATTTAGGCTTACGATGCTTTTGGGAAACGCAGCCCAGGACTGTCTGCCAGATTCCAAGTGAGAAAATATCCGGTATATTTACATCATGACAGCTTAAATTTATTAGTGTCAGCTGATATAAAGTTTATTTGTGCATGTTCTGTTATTTTACATTCAGATTACAATAACTGTCATTTAACATTCACAGTTAATATTCAAAAACGCCAATATTTTGCAAAATAATATTCATTTTTTTATACAGTACATTATAATGTTTTGAGAAGTACGTTTGTAGATTGTAGCATTTGAAATGATTGATTTTAGTTTTTAGTGTTTTGTTTTTAAATTTATTTATACAAAATAGTATAGAATCTGAATATTGGTCATTTGGTAGTTAATTAGCCATAGCGTGAAAATAATTATCAGCCAATAGCATCAGTCAGAATTTTAATATTAGCACATCCCTGTGCTAATAACTAAGTGGATTTGAGTCAGATATGCCAATAAATCACATTAAATTAATAAAACTGTAGTGCTGATTCATTTGTAATTTTTTATTTTTTTTGCCATGTATTATTTGTCTTTCTTTATGAACTTTTTTGTGATCTCCAGAGCCGTTCAGCTATAACCAAGAGGAAAGATTTGAGTGTAAATCTGGAGATGCTTATGGAAACCAGCGCAGATTCCCTCAACCAATCTTCTGGGATTATAAGGTTACACATTTATCATCAATTAATTACAACAAATTAGATTATATTTTTTTAAAGCTGCAGTCTGTAAATTTTGCCTCTTTGTCGCCATCTCTGTTTGAAAACCTGGAATTGCAGCTGTGTGCGGAATATCTTACTTGCATGGGTTGTGAGTTGGCACGGCTCCAGCGTGGATGAATCTAATGTTCTGAAGAGTATGTGTGGCAGTCAATCCACTGGTGTGGATATTTACTATACTTCGCAATCACAGATTCTAGCCTACATTTTGGAATATGACCCAAATAAGAATTTTCACCGTATATAGCCATCTGAACAAGTAAGTAACAAGTCTGCCACGTTTGTTCTGACCAACTGAGGAAAAAAGCATTACCATAAATTACAACATCAGCATTGGTGACTATGAGTATAGTGTGTATTAGCGTGTAGATTTCAATTTCTGCAGTCTAATCTAATTGTCATACTCTTTGAATTTCATATTAAGAAATTATTTTAACCCAAAAAGCAAATTATGCTCCATTCGAACTGGTTTTCTTTCAAATACAAATCTTTGTAACCCCAGGCTATCTTTAATCAGAAGCACATTTATAACTGGAATATAATTTAATTTCATTCACATGTGTTTCATAAATGCATAATCCTTTATGGATTACAGTCCGCCATCAAAATGATACATTTAATTATTCCGGCTGCTGTGAGAAAAGGCTATAAACAATCAGCCACCTGCAGGATCCTCACATGCGATAGCCTAGTAGCCAGGACAACTTCTTTGTTTACAGACGTGACGTGATGATGCAGTGCCATGCTCGCGGAATTTTCCGCGAAAACCTACCCGTATCACTCAAATTAGAAAACATTATTATAAGCTAACCGTTGTGAATTGGGCTAAAGTAAGACGATAGTTTTGAACACTGGCTGGTAATGTATTTGCTCAAATATTGATTTCGGATCATTTTCACCAAAAAAAAAAGTTACGAACTGCAGCTTTAAAATAGGCATTTTCTAAATTATATTATAAATGATATGTTGGGTATTTTGAGTTGAAACTTCATGTACACATTCTGGGGACACCTGAGACCTACTGTATATTACATCTTGTAAAAAGGGGCATAATAGGTCTCCTTTAACATTATTCAGACTGTGATTTCCATGAGTGTGTCTGTCACATTACAGCTCTGTGGAGGCGGCTGTGGTGGATAAGGGTGATGGTTCCTATGTTGTGTCCTACACCCCAGCTGAAGCAGGTCTCTACTCTGTGTGGGTCTGTGTTAAAGCCCAGCACGTCCAGGTAAGTGTTCATTTAAACCAGTGCAGCTGTGTCTAATAATTGTATCATTGTACTGGCAAGTTTAAAGGAATATCAGTGATGCTGGGAATTATATTCTAACAATAGGTGGTTTCTAGGGTTCGCCATTTGTGCTAAATGTGAAAAGGAAGTTCAGATGTCACCTTGGCATTTTCCATTGTTGTTCCTTCTGCTCCAGTGGGGGCGTTAAAGAGGCACGCTGTGGCTGCACAGGAACGATGCCAGGTACTGTTTACTCCAAAAATGTTTAAATTAATTTGAAAAAAAGTATGTTTTCACCTAATATAAATGTCTCTGTGTGTGTGTGCACTCAGGAGGGTTTCAGGGTTGTGGACATGGTCATAAAGGACACCCCGGTAAGCCCCACTGGTCATGTTGTGGGAGTGTAGTGGAGGCCTCAGAGTGTGTTCTACATAACCTGGGCAGCGTTTCTCCTCGTGGACACCTCAGGACTGTGGAGCTCTGAGACAGAGCAAATATACACTCTATCTGATCGAAATAAGCATAAACTCATAAACATACTTGAATCTTCTCAATCAGCCTACATATAATTCACTATAAATAAAAAAATCACATTGTGTTTTTATGTTGCCCTTATTCACACAGTCTTTAAGCCTTAATTTGTATGATAATCTTTTTTGTTGTTTCAGCAGTGGTAATGTTCAGAATCATGGCAGTCTGATAATCTGCAATACACAAAGTATATTTAAAAATGTGTTGTCTATTGTACAAAGTGCCAACACTAAATACCTCAGTACTGTCAGTAAAGATTTAACTATTGGTTTATTTACACATTTAAAACTAATTATTTTTAATCACTGTAAAATTTTGTCTGTAGCATTATATTGTTCCATATTTTATCATAATCAGCAAGATTAAAGAAATATTGTAATGTCTGAATATTTTGTTAATGTGTGCAGTACTGTTTTATCTTTTATGATAATCAGCATGTTTCCTTTGATATTACCCAGCTATATGAGCAATGAGGTATGCGTTATTATAATGCTTTATTTTTAGATGTATGCATGACTCCAAAGACTGCCGTTGTTATTGTATGCATCCATTACATTTCTCTTGTCTTTGTATATGCTGTATTGGTTCCACAGATTAAACAACATTTACTTCTCCACTTGGGTGGTTAATAAACTGCCACTTTTAAGACTGTATTTTTGATTCATTGTTAATGTGATATGTTTTACATAGTGTATACTGTGTAGTGTGGTCTATAAAACATCCAGTACATATACTTACTATCAAAATGTATACAGTTTTATGTGGGTATCACCATCATGTTTTTTGCCTTGCTTATTGAGTAATATATTTTAATCTATGCAGTTATTGTTTGGTTCTTATGATATAACTAATCGTTTCATAGTGAGTCTTTATAGATGTATTTGCCAGTTTTTTCTTACTTAAAAGCACAGATTTTTATAAATCAGAAGTGATGGTTTAAAGTTTGAAGTTAACGCTTTATGATGGATTTGTTTTTTACAAACGCTTTTAACTTCACAAGATCATTGACAGACTGGAGTCATGTTGATTACTTGTGGATTGTTGTGGTGTTTTTATCGGCTGTTTGGACTCATTCTGACGGCACCCATTCACCACAGAGTATCCACTGGTGAGCAAGTGATGTAATTATACATTTCTTTAAATCTCTTCTGAAGAAAAAACTCATCATGCTGGATGGCCCGAGGATAACTCAGTTTTTAGCAAATTTTCATTTTGTGGGTGAACTTAACAGTTCAACACAGTGGCTCAACCTACTGCCCTTTCCAACACTGGATGGCAGCAGTTCTTTGTGCGGAAGTTTCGTTGCTTGGTGGCTAAAATTCTGCGCTCTCTCTCTCTCTCTATCCGTCTGTATGAACAGGTGCACTTGAGATATGGAAAAATTTCGTCTCGGGCTTTAAAAAGCAACACTAACCCTTATTAAAATACATAATCTGTATGAAATATTTCTTTCTTATGTCATTCTTGTAATATTTCTACATCATTCAGTTTACTTGAAAGGAAACTTGCTGAATAAAAACGTTTTGAGTGTTAATGTGACCTTAAAATTAATTTTTTAATTTATAATATAAAAATATATATTTATATAAATGGTATGCATTATATATTTATCTCCACTTGCAAAAAAAAAAAAGCCTGTGATTAATCCCTGGAATTATGTCAGACAATGACTACTATTTTTCCACTATGGCATGCACATACAAAGCAATGGATTAAAGTAGCAGTCAATCTGATTCAGAAGGACACCCTGCATGCTTTGAACCCTCAGTTTTCTCTTTGAAATCTCTGAGCTCACACAGTCAAGGACTTGAGGAGTTCTAAGCCTGCAAACAGTTTTTATCAGAACTGTTCAACGTAACATTTAAATGTATCTATTCATTATAATCTACTGATTATCTGATATTTATATGAAGTGGTTATTTCATTATTGATTATTTTTATAGTTAATTATTTTGTTTATTGAAAGGCATTTTTTAGTTAATACCCCTAGTTTATGTACATATGTGACCCTTGATCTTAAGTCGCTTGGGTATGTTTGTAGCAATAGCCAACAATATATTGTATGGGTCAAAATTATCGATTTTTCTTTTATGCCAAAAAGCATTAGTATATTAAGTAAAGATCATGTTCCATGAAGATATTTTGTAAATGTCTTACTGTAAATATACTAAAACTTAATTTTTGATTAGTAATATGCAACTTTAAAGGCGATTTTCTCAATATTTAGATTTTTTTGCATCCTCAGATTCCAGATTTTCAAATAGTTGTATCTCAGCCAAATATTGTCCTATACTATACATCAATAGAAAGCATATTTAAATTATATATAAATCTATTGACCCTTATGACTGGTTTTGTGGTCCAGGGTCACATATCTGTACAAAGATCAGTTTTCACCAATATTTTCTTCTAAATATAAATGGATTTGGTGTAATCTTAGCCCTTTTCCTATAAAAAAAACAGCTTATATTTATATAGCCTAAACTTCAGGAATAATAGAACTGATGATTTATCCATATATGCATATGTTTTCATTAAAACATTTTTTGTGTGTTTTTTCCCCTTTCCTTCTATTCCTAATATAGAAAAAAATCTACTTGGCAAAATCCCACAATCTAAATAATCAATAAAATATATTTTGATTAACATATATAAAAGTAGTGTTATATCTCATTTGTATTTCAGAGAGGAATCGCAAAGAATCTCATTTGTGACCCACATATGCAATCTAAAGGGCTAAAATAGCTATGTATTCATCTGAATTCTTAGGGTTTGACAGCACCAGCACCAGCACGCATCACATGACAGATTCAAGTCTCTTTAGGGGGAAGGGTCTGATACACTGATGCCATGACCTGGATAGAATCTAAATGGCTGGTGGAAAGGGGGTTTGGATGGAAGAAAGTTGACGAAGAGAAGCAGCAGAAGCGTATCTTTATATGGCTTGTGCAGATTATAATATAAAGCATAGCGTATCATTATTTGGCTTGTCTCATAATTTAAAGCATATATATATATATATATATATATATATACATATGTGTGTGTGTGTTTGTGTGCATATATACACACGCACACACATGTTCTTACTTGTTTGTCATCCAGAGGACGTCACTAATGGTATGCATCCTTAAACTCGTTGCCTGTTTTCCAGAGACCTCGTATTCCTTGGTGTGCACTTCTTCTGTGAACGGCTTTACGTAATCATCATGGGCTTGAGACCTACTCGCTATCATATCTGTTGATATTGGATGCACTCAGTCATTCAGTTGCCTCCTCTTCTCATTGCATTTGCCAACTCTCTGTCTTAAACACATTGTCTTGTTTGGCAGTGTTTACCTCTATGAGCTCTTCTCTTTATCTACACTTCATTTATCATTCACACTTGAGGTCTAACGCATATTCTCTTTCCCTTTGTTATTTTTCCTCCACATGCCCTTTTGTAAATTGCTCTGTCTGATGTATACACTCTGTGCTTTTGCCATTTCCATTAGTATGTGACTACAGTCTGCCTCAGATCTCTAATCTCCCATCAATCCTTCACAAGGTGAGAACTCTTCCTCACCTGTCAGCAACATGTCATGTCACAGAGCTGAGACCAGATTGTTGTGACAAAGCTTGACAACCCAGGCTAAAAGCTTCTTTATCATGCCTGCAAAAGCACTGAAGGGAATAATAACGCATGTGCCAGAGACTTTTGAATCCGGGACTGTGTTGTGACTGAATTATTCAGTTGGATTAGTTAACATTAGCAGTTTGTCAATAATTCATTCACCAAGAGAAATGTGGTTTCCAGGACAACTTGCATAACATAGTGTTTAGTCCCCTTTGGGCACCTCAGATATTTTAGTAACAGAGCCGGAGATGCTCAATTAAAGAGATGGGAGTAAAAAAAGTAATTAAAAAAACTAATGAAGGGGACGTGCAGCATACTTAATCTATATTATTAATAATTGGTCATGGCAAATCATGTTTAAGATGTCAACTATAAATTCATGACTATCAATTTATGTAAGAATAGTTCACCCAAAAACTTAAATTTCATCATCCTATACTCCCTGAAGATTCGTTTCTTCTGCTGAACATAAAATAATGTGGTTAACCAAACAGATGCTTGTCCCCATGGACTTCCCCATATTGGAAATAAATATGGAAAAAAATACTATGGAGGTCAATGGGGACCATCAGCTGTTTAGTTAAAGTGAGTGACGTGACATGTGGCCAAGTATGGTGACCCACACTCGGAATTAGTGCTCTGCATTTACCCATCCAAAGTGCACACACACAGCAGTGAACACACACAAACCGTGAACACACACCCAGAGCAGTGGGCAGCCATTTATGCTGCGGCGCCCGGGGAGCAGTTGGGGGTTCGGTGCCTTGCTCAAGGGCACCTCAGTCATGGTATTGAAGGTGGAAGAGAGCGCTGTACATTCACTCCCCCCACCTACAATCCCTGCCCGTATGAGACTCAAACCCACAACCTTTGGGTTATGAGTCCGCCTCGCTAACCATTAGGCCCCGACTATACCCCCCCCCCACACACACACACACACACACACACACACACACACACACTTCAGAATATATTCTGTATTCAACAGAAGAAGGGAAAAAAAACTCATATAGGTTTGGAACAAATTGAAGGTGAGCAAATGATGACTTTTATTTTGGGGTGAACTATCCTTTTAAGGAAGCATTCTCTTTCACTAACAGCATAAGATCAGATCTATGATGCGGTTATGGCCAAATGTTAGCAAATAAATAAAATACAATGTGAGTAAGTCAGCTATAAAAACTAATAATTACGCTTATGTAGCTACTGCATAGCCTATTTAGTGAGTAATTTGTATGGTAATACAGTAATAAAGTTCTTTGCTTCAGAAAAAGTAAATTCCACAAAGTTACACTGTAATACTTCATAATGAGAGATGAAAATCTGCAGTGTTTGCAAACTTTTGGCTGTGGGTTTATTTGGCATACACAATGTCCCTCTTCTGCTTGGGCTACCTGTAAACAGTATGACTGATGCCATTACCTACCATTATACATCAATGCTGAGACTATTTGAGGGAACAGCCATTTGTTGTGGTGTCAGAAACCACAGTGGACATTATCCAGTGCACTCGTTCGGTCCCATAATGCAGTGTTTCCCAACCGGGGTGCCGTCTGTCGAGAGCAGGGGTACCGTGTAAAAAAATAATTTTTTTATATTTTTTAATTCTTAAAATGTTCAAAAAAGCAGCTATTATATAATATAAATTTCTGATGTCGCCAATAATTAGAGATGCACCGAAATTCCGGCTGCCGAAAATGAGTTCACCGCTCAGGTTTCACTTTCACGTGGTGTGACGCTCTGTGTATTATCCCGCTCTATGCGTGTGCTCTCCGCTCAGTCGCTCCACTCGTATACCGTTCATGTGAATCGGAACAGCAAAAATCCACTCAAAAATCAAGCGGACAGGAAACATCGATGTAGTACAGTACTGTTTCTGTCTGCAATAGCCCTACTGTCATGATGTGGTATATGGGCAACTCTGGTAACGCTGCCCTCTCATTCATTCATCTGCTAACCGCTATGTTATGCTCCCGTGTTCTGATAATAATAGCTTTCTAGGACTGAACATTATTTGGATAATTGGTAA